CACAAGATTCAAAACATCTTCGCCGGACAGTATACGAGGATACACGAAAGAACTTGCTTTTGGATGAAAACACCAAACTTATTTGTCAAGGGTTTACTGGGAAGCAAGGCACATTCCATTCACAACAAACGCTTGATTATAAAACCAAACTGGTCGGAGGTGTTTCTCCCGGTAAAGGCGGTTCAACCCACCTAGGTCTTCCTGTGTTTAATTCCGTGAAGGAAGCACGCGATGGTACCGGTGCGACGGCCACCGTTATCTACGTTCCTCCTGCTTTCGCACCGGCTGCAATTTCCGAGGCCATTGACGCTGAGATGCCCCTAATTGTATGCATAACAGAAGGCATTCCTCAACATGATATGATTCGCATTAAAAAGCGCTTACTAAACCAAGTGAGTAGTAGTTCATGATTTTTCACATAATGTTGGTGTTCATTGAACTCTAGTAGCTATTTTTCTTGTTTCGATCACTAAGCATGTAGTTCTCTTGTAATTTGTTCAAGGTTTTTTTGTGAACTTTATTTTAAATTTAGGGGTTCGAATGAATAGTCAGCCTGCTAGGTGACTCCATCGATAAACAATACTTATTCGCTACTGATGACAGGTAGTAGTGAAACCGAATGAATGAGTAATGTGCCAATAACTATTACTGTTCAAGAACGCTCTAAGACACTTCAACCGGGTAATCGATTTGTCCCAGGTAACGCAGTAATGCACAATGTTGACTCATACAATCCCAGTGCATTCCCACGGAAAAGCGCTGCATGGCCCCTGATTGCCGTCCAATAAAGATACCGTACAGTGCATATCCGTTGAATTCAATGTAAATGTTGAAAAATTCAAAATCTATTTGTGTTAAATGTACTACGATTCAGTCGCTCCACAGTTTCGGTTTTACCCTTCTGCTCCTCACTACAGTAATTGAACAAAACTTTTTGTTTATCTTCAAACTGGAAGAACTCGATCACTGGTATTGATTGCATTTTCCTCTGGATAAAAACGTGAAAGAAGTTATTAGCCTTTTAAACTGTACCGAGCGTGGGGCTATGAGGCTCTCCTCACATTTTTGAGTAATATGTTTGGAGTGCTCAAAAGGACATGATTGTCGGTATACCGCAAACAGTGTAAGATGAACAAGATTTGGAGCGAATTGGTTTGTTCAAAATTTTAACCACTAACAATTCACATCTACCTTCGGAGTGTTTTATTAATTATCCTGCATAGTTGTTGAAACTGTGATTGGTCTGTTTCAGACAAGACATTTCAGTCCGTGTAACCCAATTTACTCACGCGCGTACCTTTCTTTTGAATAAACGACTTGCCCCAACTTGGCACTCCACTTTTAGAATTACAAACGAACAGTAAGAAAAATTTGATTGACGTGTTGCGTCACTTCTCCCACATTCGAGCCCCTCCACCCAACCTTGGGTGGTAGTCAGCTTTGCTGTCTTCCGGTTCCATCCCACGCCTAACCCAGCCGGGCCCTATGTGGTCCGCCACTCCAGGTCCCGGGACTTGAGTCACCGGTTTCCATCATTGATTAGCAGGTCCATGTAACTATGGGGCTTACCTCGTTTACTGTTCATCACACTAAAAGTGTTTAATAAAAAATAAGTTGTAAAAAACACGTTTAAATATGCCGCGATAACTGACATCCATCAGAATACACCCTTGCGAATTCCCGAGCTTGAGATAGCGTCAAATATGGGCTTTAATATTATTTTTCCGTTGTGTTTCCGTATAACTTCTATTGTGTTGTAAATGAACCCAAACGAGTATGTGGTCGACGATCGCTTTCGATATATCCAAACAGTTTCAGGCACGGCACTCGAATGAGCAATTCCAGTTTGTTGATCTTCCGGTATATACATCCCTTATCCTCCCCCTCTGTTTCTCAGTCTCACTCCCGTTTGATCGGTCCAAACTGTCCCGGCATCATCAAACCGAACGTGTGCAAAATCGGGATCATGCCTGGACATATTCACACTCCCGGAAAAGTCGGTATTGTTTCGCGGTCGGGTACTCTGACTTACGAAGCAGTGTTTCAAACAACACAGGTGTGTTGTTAACTTTTTACTGCTCTATTCTCGTTCCATCCGTTAGCTACTTCGTTCGCATTCCTACTCAGCTAGCTCCTCCCGTATTCAGTTACGACTTGCTAGTTTTTTTTGTAGAACTTTTACTTTTAAAATTGTAGCTAATCCCATTTAATCGGCACCTTGTTTGTTTCCTGTTCTTTTTTTTTGCTGACCTCCAACATCGTCGTCGGTGGTCACTATTGATTGATCAGAGTTGGTCTTTTTGACCTGTCTGGCATTGACCCTTGTGTGTGTTTTCATCTCACTCGCTTGATCATCATCAACTGTTGAAGCTTTACCGAGCTGTTTAATTTGTTGTATAAAACTATTCAGTGTATTTGTGTGCAGTAATCCCCAACTTAAGTTGATTCCCCGTGTTTCTTTTTATTGCAGGCGGGCCTGGGCCAGTCACTATGCGTCGGAATCGGTGGCGATCCTTTCAATGGAACTAATTTTATCGACTGCTTAGACATTTTCCTCAAAGATCCCAACACCGAGGCAATCGTCCTGCTCGGAGAAATTGGGGGTGAAGCAGAGGAGAAAGCTGCTGCATTTTTGAAAGAACGAAACACCGTACGTTCTCTTGGTATCGGAATTCACGCGAATGCAAATATTTCGGTGTTTTTTTCGCCCACTGTAATTCCACTGATATTCTTCAACTAGATAAGTATTTTCACTTTACCATATCCATTGTAGCTTGTGTACAGTTCGATGTGCCTAGGATCTAAAAAGGAATGTTGATTTGGTTATCGATCCAGGGCGTTGGTGTCTTCTTCCGTTGGCCAAGCGTGAATAGCGCGTTGAAAGCGTGGTTTTGGGTTAAAGTCGACTGGTTCCCTTGTTCTGTCATCGGGGTTGTCTGTTTNTGTCTGTTTTCTCTCTCTTAGAATTCGCTCCTACGTCGTGTGAAATCAATAATCCTTTGTAATCGATAGGTTTGCGCTGATCGCTGTCTGTGCGTTTAATTCGATTGCGCGGTGCGCAGTACTGTTTCATGCTCTTATTGTTTTACTGTCTTGGCGTGTAGCTTCCGTTGTCCGTTAAATCTTTTTTTTGGCAACGTGAAACTACTCATTTTACTTCCTCGGATTGATTATAGTTGTCAACTCGTTGATATTTCTCTAAAGGTATTTTCCTTCCACGTTATTTCTCTCGCTTTGCTCTAACCCCCTCGTGACGAATCAACTGCTTCGTGCTCTCTTAGGGTCCTAACCGAAAACCGGTTGTTTCGTTCATCGCTGGTCTGACCGCACCCCCTGGCCGACGTATGGGTCACGCCGGCGCTATCATATCAATGGGAAAAGGTGGTGCCAAAGAAAAGATGGCATGTCTCGAGGATGCCGGTGTTTACGTAACCTCTTCTCCAGCTCAAATAGGCTCTACCATGCTTAAGGTAAGAACTGTCCAGCTAACTTCCGATTAGTTTGATTTCCGCTCCCTATGCCTCTCCATCAAATATTTTTATCATTCGTGCTTCAGCGCGGGTAAATCGTACGTATGATGTTCCCCGAATCTGATATTTACTAGATCATTCCGGTTACGACTAGATTTGGAGTATCTGTTGATTAACGTTGGTTTCTATTAGTGGCAGACAAATTTCAGATGAAGTTTCCGCACGTATGCAAAAGACTCGAATTGCGTTCGCCAACCTGTGACAACTGTTTCATAGGTTCGACATTCAGTTGTTCGTTCCTGAACCGATCGTGTTATTTGCTGCACATTTTTTTATTATTATACACGCTTTTAGTGAACAGGGGAGACGGAGTAAACCCCATAGTCACGAGGACCTGCTGTTCAGTGATGAAAAGCGGTTACCTAAGCCTTGGAGTGGCCAAACCACATAAGGCCCCTTAGGTTAGGCGTAGTATTAAACTGGACGACAGCAAAGCTGCCTACCACTAAATACTTGACTGGTACAGTGGAGGGTAGATTCAAACTACCAGTTTTCGAGTATCACTGTATTGCTTGAATTCGGTCACACAGTTGAGCGCTCATTGCCAATGTGAAGTACATGCTGTTGGATAATTGCGGTTTCACGCTAACAAACGTGTTTGGCCTTCATATTTGTTGCGAGGTTAACATGTAATTTGCACATGGAGACAAGTAGTAATTAGACAAAAGGTCATTGGTGCTCAGGCTGGCAAGTGTAGGAAATGTGGAACTACCTATTCGGAGACTTGATCAGTTTGGTTTGGTCGGGATTCTCAATTTGAGAGCTGATGAACAGCACGACCAATGGTCAGAGATACTGGTGTGTATATAGCTAGCTGTCGTGAACAGTGGTCCTGATGTATGTACTCACCTTGTACGCACAAGTCTAGTTCACTCGTGATCGTTATACTTCCCTCCGCTTTCTCCTCTCCATCCATTTGCCCAAAGGAGAGAGGAGAACCGACGCTCGGAATTGATTGTAGTTACACGAACTGATTCAACTCCGTGTTCTTTCGCGTCTGTTGTTAATGCCTCCACAAGATGGCTCCCAGTGTAGTGTCAGTTAGCAGTTTAAGTTATCACTTTCTTACTTTGGATCACGAGATCCGAGATTCGACCCTGATTGCCACTACCAAACTCTGGTGACACGTGACCTCTTTGTCGTACAGGTCTAGATTGTGATTGTGGTTTGTTTGACACTTTCTACATTCACTTGTGTATACATATATGATACCATGGCGAGAGCTCTTTAGCGCACCCATCTTAGTAGTGCCTCGTGTGTTTTGTTAGTGCCAGGCTTAACAGGTCACCTGAAGGGAAACAGTACGACCTCATGTTTGCGATGAACCCCTTCTACTATCGGTCACACCTTTGTTTCTCTTAAAACAATGCTGAAAAATCAACTGCAATTTACAATTTACTATTTCGGTGTTTGTTTTATATCACTGTGAAGCATTGTTTTGAGACAACTGCACATTTTTTTTCGTATCTTCATTGTCCTGATTTTCCGACATCATAATCGCTACGCATAAGTGTTAAATCGCTCGAATTAATAATAAACGTTGCCATACATATGCGGCTTTATCTCACAGTTTGTTATTCTTCTTTATCAGGCAATCAAAGAAGTCAAAGGAAAGTAATGCGCGTTTCACACTGTGGACACCGTTCACCTTGGGTCAACCAAACAATGTTCGCATAATTTTCTAGATCGTGTTCAGTCTTGCGCAACACTTTGCCGGTATTGTCTTTTCCATTAAATAGAAACACTTTGTGTTCATTTGAATCATTGTGGTTCTCATTTCGTGGCTTCAGCCTACAACGAGGATCATCGCAAGTCTTTCTTTCTTGGCAATATTTTACTGAGCTTTTTACATTTGGGCTTTTTTGTTACACAATGTGAATTACAGTAAAAAGGGAAATCTCCATGGACAAAGAGCATACTGTAAATAGGGGAAAGTAGGGGAACATTAACATTACATCTGGTTTATTGATTCTGCCTTTGAAGAGTTTAAGGTTGAAATTTGGGGGAAAACAAAGTGGGAGGGTATTCCACAGTTTGGCAGTTTGGAGGAAAAAAGAAGATTGGAGCAGAGAGGAACGACATCTGGGAATTGAAATCCCCACCTTACACGTGACTATAGTATTCAAGAGCAGGGTTGATTTGAGCTTTGTACAATAGAAGATAAGCTGGGGTGAAATAAAAATGAACCTTGTGTGCAGCATGAGAAGCAAGCTTAGTTATAAACGGGCAACAGCATGAAGAAGATATAGGCAATACAGGTAGGGAAACAGTCTGTGGAGCGCAGTTGAGTGGATTCAAAAGATAAACTGGGGGATGCGTTATGGGCACAGGAAGGAATGTTACGGAAGATCTGCGCCTCAACCCCCAGAAATTCATCTTCAACAAATGATCACATTCCGTGAATTCATCAAGAACCCCTTATGTATTTGAACAAACCAGTTTAGTGTATCTCTGAATTTAACCAGTGCATAGTGGTGGGTAACCCCCCCCTCCGGCAAAAATTTCTTGGAGTGAGGAAAAACGGTCGGTAGGCAGTTGGCTGTAAATGTATGCTGATCGTTTGAAATGAGTGCTAAAAATCCTCGGTTGTCATCTTGAAGCAGTATCATCCTGCTAAACAGTCATATATATTTGTATATCAGCTTTGTACTTGAGTGATCGAAGTTGTTATGTCTTCGACAGTATGCGGTAAGCGCTACAGAACGAAGCATCATATATGCACTGATTGACTGCAACGCATGATCAACTCCCCAGACAAACGCTTGTCAATCACCAAGGCCACGTAACACAGCGAGTCTGAGGCTGAGTTATTGGGTCAAACATATCTGCACATTTGCGCAAGTCGTCGGCACGGACGAAAAAATTCGGTGAGGTGTAGTCTATCAACATGATTTTCCTATTGGGACACTGCACTCTTGATTATAACTATGTCAAGTAATACGGGGTAGAGGGGGGAGGGCAGTCATTGTGACCCCTTTAGTGAATAGAAATCAAGTGGGGGCGGGGTGATGTGTTGCTGGGTGTTATCGTTGTATGTGTGAACTTCGTTGATTGATCTGCTTCTCGCGGAATGCCGCATCCGGGTGATCTGGCATTATGTTCGTGTGTTTGTCCTTCGTAATAATCTATCTAGTCTCAAGATGTGCACTTATCCTCGCCTAATCTTAGGTCAAGGTTGTTTCACCTTGAACATCCTTTGTCCTTAAGAGATTCTCTGTCCACTGTTCATCATCTTCAACTACAGGTTCTTGATAAACACTGTTGAAAACCTGATTCCGTTCCCTAGCACCTATTTACGATCGGGGTTTGATTTTTAGTCATGAATGATGTGAATCCATTGGGGATAGAACTGTAATAAAAGTGATGTTCCTCGATTCAAATAGCTATTTTCACTAAATATCTTTGTGGTCACGAGGGGAATCAAACATTTAGCATGCCGTAATCGCAAAGAGAATCTCGTTCGAATTCACATATGCTTCGTCGCACCTTTATGCAGCCAGCTCCCACCATGGGATAAGATCTTTCACCTTGAATTCCCCAGTCGAAAGCTGCTCAGGAATGACTCTCCCGGGGGCGAGATCGTCGCAGGTTCAGATATAGTCCAGATTTCATCGAAGTGCGCCGGGGTCCCAAGTTTTCAACGTTTGTTGAGTTGAATAAATTTGCAGGTGTATCTGAAAAGCTCAGTAATGTACTACTTTCCTACCCAGCCGTTACTATCCTCCATAGTGTCAACCAGTCATTTCTGACCGCACGAGGAAGCTCCACTAGGTCATCTCACATGGTGCTGCGAATTACTGACCAATGCTACACAACCCCCTGCGGTAGTAAGCTTTAAAGCAAATTGTTTATTCTGTTCATTCTATGGGATGCCTGGAAAAATTCCGGCTCATTCTTCACACGACCTGTTCGATCTTCCATTCTGAACAGATGCGTTTGAGTAGTGATGTTTGACGTGACATTAATTATCCTTATTCGTGGAATCTCCTGTTCACATTGAAACTGTTCGCCTTTGTTACCGTATCAACTTTCTAATGTTTTCATCACAGCAAAGTCGACTCTCCTGCGTGTTAGCATTGAGAAAACGAGTCGGTGGGCGAACAATTGTTTTCGGAAAAATTCTTACATAAAAGCCATTGACTCAATTTTAAGGCCATTAATCAGAGGCAGAGAGTAATGGAGTCGTGTGTGTGTGTGTATTTGTAGGAATGTTAAGCGTGTTAGTTGATGTGACCTTCCCCATCTGGGTCAAGTGACGAATGACCTTAAATTGAGCCAGTGGCTATCATTATGTAAGAGTTTTTCCACTATATGATATGTAAGAGCATGACTAGGAATATCCACAAGCAATTGTTCGCTCACCGACTCGTTTTCTCCTACATGCCACTGTCGATTATGGTATAATCTCAATAGCGATGTCAGTGATGGTCAGCGCGGCACGATAAACGCGGATTTCACTACTTATTTCTTAAACGTTATTATTCTGAAGAATGGTGATAAGAATGCGCCAAGCTATCTATGCTGGGTTTTACACCGTCCTAATTGGCTTTGTTTCTGCATTCGATTGCCCAACACTGGGAAACTGACTGACTAATTTCCCTTTCAAAGTCGGCCAGCAAGGCTGCTACCTAACGCACCAGGTCTATTGTCATCAGCTACCACATCTTTTTCGTATGATAGTAAATCGGCTGCCGTTATCGATCTACCGGTTAACTGCGCAGTTCAAAGTGTCTCGTCTACGCCCACTCTGTATTGGTTAAGTCTAACGTTGCTTGCATGCAGGGGAAATGGTCCCAATTTGGGACAGACCGCTTTGTACGTGTTTGCCTGACCGGGAATTCATTGGTTGCACGGATATATTTTTATCGTCGTATGTCTGGCTATCGATCGCTTGCAGATTTTTGATCGTGCGTGCGTCAGGAATCTACATGGGTCGGAGTCGCCTATTTTTAACGACGCGATTTGTCCGT